GGCGTCTGCCTCTATCCTATCTCTTTCCCCCTCTTTGGGTCTTCTTTTTTATTTCAGGCTTTATGCTTGCTTACCGTAACCTCAAGTGATCTGTATGTCTGCCTCTTCTTCACACTTTGAGCTTTCTGAACCCAGGAATCTTTGCACTGCTCCCCCCCCACCCCCCCACCCCCAACCTGGCATGATGCCAGGACAGGAGGAGCTACTCCTAAAATGGTGTCAGTGTTACTTGAAATAGCTCCCATTAAGAATATTGACAGGTAATCCTGTAACGACTCCTTGGGGATGGTAAAGAATCCTATTCCAGGAAAATCATGGATATTAATATCAAGGGAAGTTTTTCTCCACATTTGGGAGACTGTGCCCATTTAAAGACCCAGAGGAAGAGGGCTGTGGAGATCAAGTGATTAAATTTATTTAACAAATGGAGATAGGATACTATATTGAGCAGGAGAGGGAAGGGTCCTCACATTCTCATCTCTGCTCTTCCTGAACTAAGGTTCCGTCTCTCTCAGAGAGCAAACGTGTTCAAAAATTCCTTTGAGCATCAGAAATATTCTGATAGGGGGCACCTGGGTGGCTCAGTTGTTAAGCATCTGCCTTTGGCTCAGGTCACGACCCCAAGGTCCTGGGACCGAGCCCCGTATCAGGCTCCCTGCTCCGTGGGAAGCCTGCTTCTCCCCCTCTCACTCCCCCTGCTTGTGTTCCCTCTCTTGCTGTTTCTCTGTCAAATAAATAAATAAAAAATCTTAAAAAAAAAAAAAGAAATATTCTGATAGGAAAACTGTTAGCTGTTCTTCCCAAAACATACTGTGGTGAAGATCTTTGGTGATTAGACATTTAACATTTTTGACTTTGGTAATTTTTTTTAAAGATTTTATTTATTTGTCAGAGGGAGAGAGAGAGCACAAGCAGGGGGAGCAACAGGCTCCCTGCCGAGCAAGGACCCTGATGCGGGGCTCGACCCCAGGACCCTGGGATCATGACCTGAGCCGAAGGCAGACGCTTAACAACTGAGCCCCCCAGGCGTCCCTTGACTTTGGTGATTTGACAGATGATTGATTTCATCTTCAAGATGTTTGTGATCTCATAAAGCACAACCCTGAATTATCCCCATGTGCCCAGCAGCAGGAGTGCAGGCAGGGCTGTGTAAGCTCAGCTCCCTGAGGTACATCAGCCTCCAAGAGGGCTTATCCTGCTGGTTGGACCTGCCCTTTGTGTGTATATGGGAAAATATACACAATAGTGCTGTTTGGATATTGCTGAAGGTCTGGTGGATACAATCCTCACCATGTCAGAGTGTATTTTAAAAGACGATAATATTTTTTTAAAGATGTTTAGAGAGGGAGAGCGCACGAGTGGGGGAGGAGCAGAGGGAGACAGAGAGAGAGAATCTCAAGCAGACTCTATACTAAGCACGGAGTCCCACACGGGGCTCGATCTCACGACCCTCAGATCACCACCTGAGGGAAAATCAAGAGTTGGACACTCAACAGACTGAGCCACCCAGGTGCCCCAAGATGATAATATTAATGCGGGGTGAACTGAAGAGAAAAATCTTTAAAATGATAACTAAACTACAATGATGTATTATCTAAAGTATATTAAATATCATTCCAAAAACAATATGGATACAATAGTTGAGTTGCAGTTACTATCAAAGAGAGCTTTTGGGTAAGGAACTCATCCCTTTAAGCTCTTGTTTCCTCATCGGTAAAGCAATAGTTCTAACTTCTCAGCATTACGGTGGGGAATAAATGAGATTTTGTTTGGGGTGTGTGTGTGTGTGTGTGTGTGTGCCCATATGTACACGCAGACACACACTTGGCACAGTGGCTGGCACACTATTATAGCTGAAATTCAATAAATTGTTTACTAAGATACATAATTCACAAGGTCTGATACATCCGCTTTGGTGCTAAAATATTTTTGCTGCTAATTAATAAGAATGGCATGTTACCTCTGTCTTTGTGTAACAGGTATCACCTCATCCTGATAGAAGCTATAACAGGATGAAGATTGTCCCTCTTAAAATAAACTTACTGGTTTCTTAAATAAATACGTTTTAGTTGATTAGGTTTTATAAAAATCTAATGCAATGCAAAATTAATTTCTTGAATTGGCTTGAAATGTATTCTTTGTAGGGGTTTTAAGGTTCGCATTATATTTAACATATTTTATATAGTTATATATGGTATTTTTGCCATATTTTTGTATATGGTGAAGTATTTTTATATATGGTATCTCATTTAATCTTGCTCATGAGGAGGAAGGGTAGATATTATTGATACGGTTTTTAGGCTTAAGGCAAATGAGCCTCAGAGGGATTAAGTGACTGTCCAGTCACACAGCAAATGGTGGTCAAGACCTGGCACTTACCGTGAGCTGGATTTTCTGACCCAAGTCATGTGCTCATTCCTCCTCACTCTGCCTCTATCGATTATGGTCATCAGTCCCTCGGGTTTGAAACTTAGAAACTTAAGTGTATTTAGGTGCATGCCCCTAGGATTTTAATTAGCTCTCTTAGTTCTTAAAAAACAGAACTTTTAACATACAGTAAATTCTTTTTCTTTATCCAATAACCAAAGACAGATTTCTAACTGTGGCTGTGAATGCATTTATATTTCTGTGAAAGTTGACTTCGAAGATCTGGATCCCAAGGCATTGTAGGCAGAATGTGTAAATACCTTCTGAAATAATATTTTCCTTTTTTTTTTTTAAAGATTTTATTTATTTATTTGAGAGAGAGAGAGAGAGGATGAGAGGAGAGAGGGTCAGAGGGAGAAGCAGACTCCCTGCTGAGCAAGGAGCCTGATATGGGATTCGATCCTGGGACTCCAGGATCATGACCTGAGCTGAAGGCAGTCGCTTAACCAACTGAGCCACCCAGGCGCCCTGAAATAATATTTTCTAAAAGATCAAATTACAGTTACTTTCATTTTGCTGCTGACTTTTATTACAGTCTAAATCTTAAATCCTATAAATCTACGTATGGCATATATTCTCTATTAAAAACACTGACAAATAAACAAAAGCTTTCAGAGCCTTTAAAAAGTGCCACAAGATGTTCCTGAGGAAGCACACAGCTTTGGCTGTGTACACAGGAGAGGGTTAACTCTTAACTTAGCAACAGGAGCATTGGAAAAGTGGGAGCACTGAGAGACCGCAAAAACCAATCGATTACTCCCATGGGTACCGCCTCTGAGTAGTCGGCTTTTTTTCTCTCCACTCAAAAACCAGCTCAGGAAGATGCATCTTCTCTCTCAGTGTAGTGAGAGAGATGAGCACATAGAAAACTGACTGTGGGAATGTGGGAGAGTATGGGACTGCAGGAGAAGTTTATGATCAGTGAGAGGCCACCAATGGCCACATGAGGACTTGGGTCAGTGTGTGGACACCGAGCAGTGTGGACCAATGTGACTGTGTTCGCTACCTAGGGCTGCTGAAACAATGTATCACAAAGTAGGTGACTTCAAACAACAGAAATGTATTCCCTTCCAGTTCTGAGAGCTAAAAATCCAAAATCAAGGTGCTGGCAGGACTACATTCTCTCTGAAGACTGTAGGGGAGGATCCTTCCTTGCCTTCTTCCTAGCTTCCAGTGGCCCCTAGCAAAGCTTGACATTTCTTTGACTTATAGATGCATCACTCCAGTCTCCGCCTCCATGTGAACGGGCCTCTCCTCTGTATGTCTGTGTCTACGTTTTTCCCTGGGTAAATTGTGATATTGAGAATGTGGCCCCATGCTTCACATAAACTTGAAGACAACACTGAATGAATAAACATCAGTGATTGATGATTTATCACTGATGGGCTTAAATGGAAGACGGGCAGTCTAGGAACAAGGAGCGACCATCCTCGAGGGCTTTCCACACTTGTCCGTGTGCAGAGACACGGTAGGAGGGCATCTCAGAAATTCCGGCCCCACCTTTCTTCCCTTCCCTCACTTTTTCTTAGCCACTACCATCTTTATCCCCATGCTTTTCTTTGTTCCCATTCTCTTCTGAAATCACATATGACATCCAAAATAGAAGCTAGGCATGCTCAAGATTGGGATGATGGCTAGGGTGCAAGACGTGTTCCTGCTCTTGCTCAAGTTGAGGACTTACTGAGGAGTGAAATTGCCAAATTTTTCATCTTCCTCTTTTTTCATCTCATCTTTCACAATCTTCTTTATTTCTGATAGTCCTACTATCAAGACACTCTTTCCTTCGCATTGTGAAATGACCCTAAAGATAGTTTAAGATAACTATTTTCTTTGTCAAATGAAGCAGTCTGAAGATGACCCTTTGAACAAAGTTCCAAGAACACTGAATTTAGAAGATCTGATTGTAAAAATGAAATAACAGAATCGTTTCATTTTAAAATAATATTTTATATATAAATCATCAAATAGATTACTGTTTTAATACATGTTTAATTTCAATAAACTAATCCATTAAACTAATATTTGAAATGATAAGAATAATTTCTTAAAGATTTTACTTATTTGTCAGAGAGAGAGAGAGCACAAGCAGGGGGAGTGGCAGGCAGAGAGAGAAGCAGGCTCCCCGCTGAGCAGGGAGCCCAATGCGGACTCGAACCCAGGATGCTGGGATCATGACCTGAGCCAAAGGCAGATGCTTAACTGACTGAGCCACCCAGGCGTCCCTTTTTAAGGGTTTTACTTATTTATCTGAGAAAGAGAGAGTTCACATATGCACATGAATGGGGGGAGGAGCAGGAGAGGGACAAGGCAACTCCCCGCTGAGCCGGGAGGATCATGACCTGAACCCAAGGCAGACGCTTAACCAGCTGAGCCACCCAGGCACCCCAAGAATAATCAATCCAGAAAACTGACTGAGAGTATCACCCTAAGTCACAAAAAGAATAAACAAAAAGTTGCTTAAAAATATCACAGTGGTTTGAGGCAACACCTAAAATGATACTAGCAATCAGCTCCAAACTAGTTAGTTATGTAAGTGACCTATTTCTTGGTCCTGAAGTGTTGTGGTAAGCTGCTCAATGAACAGAAAACACCTTTGCCATCTCTACATGGATGACGTCCCAGGCACAGTTGCTATGTTTTTGGTCTTGCAAATAGCCCCGGATCCCTCGGAAATAATTCTTTATTCCAAGTCTGGTATCTTCCCTCTGCAAGGATGAATGATCCTCCTGCCCGGTTTCCTGCTCTGGCCACGCCTCTGTCTTCACTGTCTGCCGATATAGTCCACTTAGGAGTCCCTCTACACGGCTTTCATTCCACAAAGATTGGGAGACATTGAGGCTGAAAGTGTTGAAGACCTGCTGTAGCATTTCTCGGAGGGCAGGGACAGCTCCTGCCTTCAGAACCTGGTCAATTGTTGAAACCTGGAGGAATATGAAGTCACTTCTGTCCTTCGGACAGTTCAGAGGAAATTTGCCTCCTAGATTTTCTAAATGTTGTAAACTCTCCCAGTTGCTCCACCCTTGAAAGTGACAGTCCAGGGAGAAGGCAGTACTGGAAATAAGTAGCACCAAGGCCCAAGCCGGCAAGGACCAGTGGGTCATGGTGGGCCCCTTCCCAGCGTTACTCATTCCTCAGAGAGAGCCTGGAGAGGGATCACCTCTGGTTGCACAGATCCCGCATCTCCGAATTTTTGTATCTGTGGGAGCCTTGTTTTTGCACGACCTTTCAGGGTCCCCCTACTTTCTTGTGGTCTTTTCTGCTTTTTGTTATTAATAATAATAAGCAAAACTTTTTAATAATAAAATTCTGTAGTGTCTTTGGATGGTGATACACACGTTCAATTTCAGAATTGTGATAGGTAAGAGCTATATCTCCTATGAAAGACCAACAATCAGTTAAGTGAAAACAAAGCTGGGAATGTTTTTGCCTTTGTTTAAATTTTCTATGCATGGCTCATGATGGCTTTCCTTCCTTTCCGTATGCTGTTTGTCCTTGTTTCAATCTCTGGATAAAATGCTTGTTTAGATATTTGGGGTGGTTTTCAAGGCTTTGTTTTAGCTAATGGTACTTTATCACAAACTTGTATTTCAAAGTCCTTCCAACATGTTTATTTATGTACATTGAAATTTTTCTTAGTTTTTTTTTTTTTTTCTTCTGGCAAAACCAGAATTGTGGAATGTGTAAAATGTGTCTTTGGTCTCCTATTTCCCCCATTTAATTCACTCACCTCCTCTGTACTCGTGGTATTTCTTTTTTCCTCCTTCAGCAGAAAAGCAGAATGATGGAGAGTACTGACGCTGAAGGCAGGCTCCCTAGATTTGGATCAGATTTACCTCCTTCAACTTTAGGCAGCTAATTTAGCTCTCTAGGCCTCAGTTCTTTGCTTATTCATGTAAAGTGCTTAGGACACCGCCTGGTGTGCTCTCAGGTTTCGAAGCTTATTAGGATTATCAAGCACCGTCACACCAGCCTGCTCTCGGCTGGCTGCCACAATCCCACATGTGCTGTCAACTGTAAAGACTCGAAAGCTGCTAACAGCTTAACTCCTCCTTCTAATTTCATTGAAGATGGACCATGTGTATGATGCCGTGTTAAATAACAGGGGTGCAGAAACAACAAAGGAAAGAAGCTAGCACCCCTGCCTTCAAGATGCTCATATCTAGACATTACCAAAAGACCACGAAGGGAACAAGGAAGTCTAGCAGTGTGAAAATAGCCATAAAATACAATATAGTGTGATGAGTTAGAAAAGTCTTCAGAAAATTCTAGAAGGAGTCATGTCTTTGAGAATGGGGAAGGTAGTGAAAAGCCTTGGAGATCCTTAGAGAATAGTTGGTCCCACAGGAGACGAGTCAGAGAACAGTATCCAGGAAGAGAGACAAAGGCATCAGCAAAGGCATGGAATGGTCCATGTTGGAAAGTCTTGGAGAGATCCACAGGTGGAAGTGAGAGTGAGCACTGTTCAGTGCCTGGGGATAAGTCTAGCAATGATCGCTTGAAGGCGGACAACGCTTCTGGTACAAAGGAATGAGTTTTTATTGGAAGAATTTGCAGTTTTATAAAATTGGAAAAATATTTTGAGGCATGGAGTAGCCTCCAGGGCCTCTCATATCACAGATGTAAGTGACCACCTAATGGTCGAGGGTGACTTTTACAAGTGCAATTGCTGAGTTATCTGCTTTATATGGATTTAAATTTGTTTTGTCTTGACCATCATTTACTGACCCAAAACAGACCTTCCACCTGGAGAACCGCTTTGTACTCAACTCAGTCACATTCTTTAGCACTTACTCTCCTCAAGATTTGTTGGTGGCAAAACCTTAGTTTATATTTGTCTAAAAATGTCTCTACTTATTTGTGGAAAACACATCAACAAATATTTGTTGAACTAGTTGAATTGACTTCAACAGATTGAATTAAATACCAGTTTTTTTTTTAACTCATAAGGATCCTTTTAAAGATCAGTCAATTTTGAATTTTCCAAGCAAATAAGCTTAAAAAATGCTATTAATGTATTAGCCCAATAACTGGCATGTGTTGATGTCATTGGCCTACTTTTTATTAATTTTTTCTTTCTATTTTATTGTAAGCCATAATGCAAGATTTTGATTGCCTTTAAAAACCACTTTATAACCCAAGGGTGAAAATGTAGGTGAAGCACAGAAGGACTATATCAAATATTGGTTAATCCATATTTATTGGTTTTATTTAGCTTTATGGAGATATAATTGAGAAATAAAATTATAAGATATTTAAAGTATACACTAGGATGATTGGATACATGTATACGTTGTGAAAGGATTATGCGGATTTAAATATTGGTCTCCCTCTGAAATCGCTTTTGAATGGATTTCCTGGCAGTTTAGAACAGCTTTTGGCCTTTTACCCCATCAGCCAGAACCTCCCATTAGCCTGTATCTGTTTTGCTGTCTCCAACTGCTTTTGCTTTCAACCTTTTTATGCCTCGTTAATTTACTCATACTTTGACATATACCTTTATATTTCCATAGCTATCAAAAATTTTTCATGAGATGGTTAAAAGCCCAAATACGCCTTGAGGTATACAGTCTCAGGGAGGGTAATCAGGCAGCACCCGGACAGTGCTCATCCAGTTCTGCGGATGCAGGAAGGGGGTCAAGGAAGAAGGGTCTGGCTCCATCAGCGTACCATCCTGAGCGATCCCATTCTGCTTGAGGCAACCCCCACAAATCCATGCAGAAGAGGAGGGAAAGTGGAAGCAGAAATGCACTGAGATAAGAAGAACGGTTCTAGAACCAGGTTGCTTGGGTTTGAGTCCCTACTTACTAATAGCATGACTTACCGTGATGGTTAATTCCACGTGTCCATTCGATTGGGCTAAGAGATGCCCAGAGAGCCGGTAAAACATTATTTCTGGGCACGTTTGTTAAAGTGTCTTTGGAAGACATTAACATTTGAGTCAGTAAATGGAGTAAAAAAGATCCCTCACCAGTGTGGATGGGCATCATCTAGTCCACTGAGGGCCTGATTCGAACAGAAAAGCAGAGCAAGGGCAAATTCTCTCTCTCTCTGCTGGAACTGAGACATCCAGCTTCTCCTGCCTTTGGATGAGGGCTGACGCTCCTGATTCTCAAGTTTTGGGATTCAACACACCATCCGCATCCCTCCACCTTTCCCCACTCCCGTTCCCAGGCTTTTTGACTCAGACTGAATTATATCACCAGCTTTCCTGGTTCTCCAGCTTGCAGATGGCAGATCACGGGACTTGTTAGCTTCCATAATTTTGTGAGCCAATCCTGTAATAAATCTCATCTATATCTACATCTCTATCCATAATCTATTGGTTCTGTTTCTCTGGAGAATGCTAATACATCAGCTTAATAGTTGCATGGCCTTGGAAAGTTGTTTGAGCCCTCCAGGACAATTTCCTGATATTTAAAGTGAAGATAATCATATTATCACATGTGATCGTGATAAAGATTAACGATCAATGACTGGCACATAGGAAATGTGTTTGTTACCATGGCCAGGACAGCAGCAGTCCCATCGCCCTCCTCTTAGGGAGGGGAAGGCCTGGGTGCCCTGCCGCCGACACACTTCTTTCTGGAGTTTTCCCTCTTTGGGAAAGAACGCTGCAGACTAGTGAAACCAGTCAAGATATTGTTTTTAAATCCTCTGAGACATTATGCTTTGCAATTTATTGAACTGGGGCAGATGGTGGTGTGAAAACACTGTGAACACTAATAGTTGATGAGTGACCAGGAGTGAGTCAGGAACAGACAGTGGGGGGTGGCAGGGGGGCGGCTAACGTTTATGGAGAACCAATTACGCGCAGACCCACTGTGCTAGGTGAGGCACCACTTTGTGTAAGGCAGGCCAGAGTTTTCTGAGGGAGAAAGCGAATTATGAGGGGAACAATTAAAATGAGTGGAATAAAACAAGCCGTTGTTTAACGCTAAAGGTAATAACAGTTATTCTGTATGTTTGCACAGTGTTTTTTATGTACCTTATCTTATTACAGACTCAATGTGGGGTAATGATATGGTACTCATTTCATGGGTGAGGAAAGTGAATTTCAGAAGGATTAAATGTACCAAGGATCACGTAAGTAGCAGAGGCAATATTATTCAGTGAAGAAGCTACTGGACTGGGGGACTGTGCTCTAAATTGGAGATGACAAGGAGGTTTCATCCCAAATGAATTGGTGTGAGTCTTCCAGAGTGAGGAGGATTCTGGGGCTTCATCTGGGTGGGGTGAAAAGAGTCCTGTCATCAGCTAGCAATGTCTGCCATGAGATGGGGGGACGATGAGTTGTCATCCCCATATAAATATTAAGATATCTTAGGTATGTGTCTTGTTTGCTTGAGTATAGATAGAGCAGAATATAAGTCTGGGGTGGATAAACAGAGATTAAACAAGACAGGTGACCACAAGCTATAAAGGAGGCTAGAAGAATGATGTAGTGATTTCTACAAGTTAATACTGTTTTTACAACCTGGTATTGTAAATATATTTTTGAAACAAAAACACCACTTTTTCTTCTCTCCTTCCTTCCTCCTTTCCTTCCTTCCTTCCTTTCTTCCTCCTTCCCTCCCTCCCTTCATTCCTCCTTTCCTTCCTTCCTTCTTTCATTCCTTCCTTTCTTCTTGGACATAGATAGAATGATTTGTAACACTGAAATTCAGAGATAGTGATTTCCAGTCAAACTTCTAACTGGTCTTGGGGAAGTCCCACAACCCACTAAGTTTCATCTTTATGGAAGAGAAGCCAGATTGACTAAGACACCCTATCGTTCAGAGTGGTTGTGAGAGGCCACCAATATAAATAGAAAAGGTTTACCTCAAATTTAAAATGACATCAAGATCCTCAACTAAGCTCCCCTAACTGCAGGGCAAGTCAACACCTGCCTCACTATGAAAGAAAAAGGCAAACCATCATCTCTTTGTATTTTTACTGTCTGCCCTCCACGTGAACATGGTACATGTATTAGCCTTTGCTTAGCTAGCCCTGGAAAACCACTTCCCCTCTCTGTGGCCTGGAGAATGACAACCACATGTTATTTCAGGCTTTCCTCTCAGTTGCATTTTCCAGGTCTTAATTCATGATTGCCCTCCGGGTTTCT